AGGTAAAAAGAAAGAATAATCTTTAGCCATACGGCCCAGGTGATGGTCAGTGGCCAGCAAAGCCTATATACAGGTTGTGACAAAAAGTCCGAAATAAAACTTTATGGTTTGGTTGTGTTCCTTGTATAGAATCACCTACGAAAGTTTGACGCCTTTCAGACCACTTTTATTTTCTAATTAAATTAATAAAAATATCGTTTTACTCCTGCCTATGACAACCCTATAAATGCGTACGATTACTACTACCTAAACAGACCCCCCTCTCTCCCCTGCGCCCCGCTCAGATACCTACAAATTTTTATTTCGGAATACATACCTACAAATTTTATTTCGGAATTCTGTAACACCCTGTATAGATGCTTTCAAATACCAGAGCATAGCGCCTGCTGTCGAACCAGGCTCTATCTTCTACCCGTGGAGCCCATGAACCTAACACAGTACTCACTAGACACTAGAGAGAGACACAACTACATCAAAAGGTAGTGTTATCTATTCACTGTGAAGAGTGAGGAGCTCGATGGCGCAAGTGGTTAGCGCGTTCGGCTGCAATCGATTAAGTTAAGCAACTTTCGCAGTGGTCGGTCATTGGATGGGTGACCAAAAATCTTCTATCTCGAGTTCCTCCGGGCTTCGGAAAGCACGCTAAGCGGTTAGTCCCGGCTGCATCTTAAGTGGTTAGCACCAACCAATCCGCACTGGGCCCGCGCGGTGGGTCATGACCCAATCTCCCTATTCCATCCATAGGGAAGGCCTGTGCCCCAGCAGTGGGGACATTTATAGGCTGATGATGATAACTGTCTATACAAGCACAGTAACACGCTTTTTGCGTGCGTTTCCCTACAGACAGATAAATGTCAAAGCAACAATATGAGTAAGCCGATTATTACGCGATACACTGCTATGGTACATCTGTTATTACCATTGTAATTCGGGTGTTATTACGTCGGTAATACGACATGTTGCCGGTTCGCATTATCGCATACTTACACACGAATGGGGTGTAACACGTAAAGTACTGCGAACAACTGTTCGAACTATACAAAATTGTCAAATATCTCCAACTGAGCTTCAACTTTAGCTTGTATAACTGAAGATTTACAATTGAAATTTAATACTGTGGTAACAGACGCGTTTTCGATGTCGATTGCAGATAATTTGAGACGTTTCGATGAGAAATACACAAATGGGTGCGTATGACGTGATAATGTGGGGTCTTGCGAGAATTATGGTTATTTTTTTTCTTTTCAGGCACTCTTGTAATATCGAAACGTATTCTTCGATGTATTTTTTAAACCCTTTGACGATTGCCGCTGCTTCATACCGTAGTATTGTTTTTTTTTTTTATATTTATACAAGTAGTTTATCTTTCGCGGATGAGATCCAGTCTTTCGATAAACCATTTTTATAATACCTTTAAGAAATCATGATTGCAAGGTATTATTGCAATCCTGTTGGGAAACTTATGGAGACATCTGTTTTGGTATTGCGTTTTTGAGCTTTTATTGCTCGCATTTTTCTCATAAAAAAAATGTTCTTATGTCCTATCCAAGAACGCTATAAAATTTCAACCGAAACGTGAATTTCGAATTTTATTAATGCATTTTCAATGTTACACATTGAAACACATTTAAATTTTTATTCTTCAAAGGATCTGTAATTTAAACAATCCTCAATATATTTTTTTTTAAACACGACAGCAGAATTTGAGAAAGGATACTATTGAATGCACTAAATGTAGGTACTAAATCTTTCGAAATGATTTTGTGTTGCCAAAACCATTAAATTAATACCTAAATAAGATATTTTCAGTAGATCGTTTAAGCTTCCAATAGACAAATTACCACTTTACAGGTTTTTGAGCTAACGCTAACGCTATCAATTAGGTAGTTAAAAATATGCAATTAAATTAAAAAAAAATCGCAAGCTTTGCCCGCTCCTGATGCGCGATTATGAAACAACCTTTATTGGCCATCTTACACAATACAAATACTATAAATATAAACAAAAAATAAAAGAGGAACTTAACCTTAAAACAAAAAATAAGAACATAAAACTAAGACGGCCAATCAGGACCCTGCCTCAGCTTATGATGACACTGTATCAGCGCTGGTATTCTGGCAGGACCTGTGCGAGGACGTGTTGGGCGCTAACAAACAACAAAACAATACATTTATGCTTATCTATTAATATTTTATTGCGCATATATATATATATATATACATATATACACACATTAAATACATACAATGACAAAATCCTTAAATAAAGAAACGCAGCGCAGCACTCCGAACGCACCCGCACCGCATCCGATTACATTTGGTCATTCCCGAATACGAGTGCCAATGGAATTCGGGTAATGACTTTCGTGCACCCGTAGGTATACGGGCTAACGACCAAGTGTATTTGAGCCATTAGACGCGTTATTAACGTTCGATAATATCAGATGCGTTATTGCGATATTTCGTCATACTTCTATTGCCTCCTTACCATCGCAGCAATCATCATCAAGCTTACAACAATTTATTTCGTTATTTATTACTTCAAACAAAAGAAAGAATTCCACTTGACTAAGGCCACTCAACTGTAAACCAAATTGTTTCTCTGTCGTATACATTTTTTATAAATAATTTGCCATTAAATTAAAGCAACTATGAACCGCTCACTTGCACATCTACAAAATACAAAGCTCTCTGCAACAAAAAACAATAATGACGCAAAAATAATGCAAAATTGCAGCAAAACTGTCGCGCCATAAATCGTTTAGCATAGACAAGCAACATGGCCGCCCGTTCTATATTGTCTTTGGTCCACGTTCGTTTCTATTCGGTTATTAACAAGCGTATACCCAAGAGCGTTTAAAGATTTATAGCGATATGAATAGAGGCTATTTTCGCTTAAGCTATGCCGATATGAAATTTGTTTTTCTTGTGCACTGCAACGACAATCAACAAGTTGGTGTCCTGCTGTTTTATTGGATAAAAGTACACCGTGAGGATGCGTTGAAAATTATGTGTATCTCTAGAGATAATGTGTATCAGTACATACATTTTTAATTGGTCGAGTGGGCGTTCTTACAATATGTCGTTGACAGCATTGTAATTCATTGTAGGTTTATTGCATACGTAAGTAACATTACTCTTCTTTAGAACAATTTATGATAGCTTCAAATAATATATTCTAGTGGGTATAGGTAGCGGCAAACTTCTTAAACAAAACCACAGACAAATATACTTGCGTAGTAAATGGAAATAGGTTATTTGACAAGTTTTAGAAAACAAACTCACGTTATTGACTAATGTTTATGGAGTCCGTAAAATTCATCATTCTGTTGTGTATTTCAATAAAAATAACCAAATCAAAAACTCCATTTTCAATTTGCCGCGAAAACGTTTTTCCGGACAATATAGCGTCTTACTAGTGTGTGACGTCACACGACTGTTATTAAAACGTCAAACGATACAATGAAATGTCATTTTAACCGGAAGTTTACTTGCGTGTGACGTCATTTTAGGCTCCGCCAATCCCAAGCGTTTTGGGCCACGTGACAATAGATAAGAAAACTATTATCTTTTTCCTGGGTTTTTAGTGAAATTATGAATATTTTGTTTATAAAAATAGTAAAAATCCCTGTCAATATTCATTTTAAACACAGATGCTTACAATTGGCACTTTATTTTTAATAATGTCAAATACCCTATGGCACAGATTTCCTTGTCTTTGGTCGATACTCAAGAAGTTTGCCGAGGTGTATTATGACAGCTCCAAAGCTCTCGAAATTCACTTCTGTGGTATATTTTTTATAGAATGTACATAGTTTTGATAGTGATAATAATATTTGATATTAGGAGGAGGATTTATTCGTCCTTACCCCTCCATCACCTTTTCTTCACGCGCGCTGGCCTACGTTGACTGTAAGACGCCGTCTTACCGTGGCCATTATTCCTACACGAACAAAAAAATTTGGTGACTCATTTCTTTGCCGTACTATTCATAAGTGGAATTTGAACTTTGCCCGCGCACGTGTTCCCTCCTTCCTACAATCTGGGGTCCTTTAAGAGAGGCGTGAAGAAGCATTTTTGCAGGCCGGCAAGGTGAGGATGGTTGGTGTGGCAGTTTATAATTGTTAAACCAGATATCTTCGCGTTTGGACTTTATCACCACTTAACATCAGGTGGGGTAGAATCCTTTGCCTACCTGGCTATCAAAAAAAAACTCCTTTCGTTCCTTACTCTCGTGAAAGAGTCTGATCAATATCTGATCAATATTATCATGATCGCAGTACTACAGGTAGACTGGTATTACTGCGATACGGTATATTACACTGTCAATAACATCACGATATAATCTATTTATATAAAACTCAAAGGTGACTGAGTGACTGACATAGTGATCTATCAACGCACAGCCCAAACCACTAGACGGATCGGGCTGAAATTTGGTATGCAGGTAGATGTTATGACGTAGGCATCCGCTAAGAAAGGATTTTGATCAATTCTACTCCCAAGGGGATAAAATAGGGAATGAAAGTTTGTATGAAACTTTATAATTTTAAACCGACCGGGCTGAGACTTTGCATGCAGGTATAAGAAGAATCATAGATGAATGTCATTGTGTATAATACAAGCTTGAGAACTAAAACTGTAGTCTACACTTCAGCTCTACACCGAAGCGAAGCGAGGGCGGGCCGCTAGTGATATTAAAAAATAAATCGGTATTGGTTCGTGCTAGAGGTACAGTACTCTCTATGAATCTGCACTATGAAGTTGCCCAATCCAGCAAGATGAACAGTGCTTAGAGGACTTACTGGACTCGTATCGCCTTTGGTGTGATAGGCGAGACAGGAATGATACGATTAAGATAAAATGTGCACTAACCTTTATCTATTTTTATTTTTAAGGAAGTTTAGACAACCAGAGTGTTGTTTAATATATTTTCCTATTTTTAATAAAAGTTTTGGTAATCAGAAGTAAACAAACAAATAAACAGAAGAGGGTACCCACCTCGATTAATTACTGTCTCTGCACTCTTCGTTTTCAGAACGGCATTGGAGCCAAAATCGTTTATCTGTAAACAAAAACAGATGCATTTTTTAATTATATAGAATTGCATATTAATAGTTTGTTCACCTACGGCCTACTGTTGCAATGTTAACGGTTCATTTGGAAGCAGGATTCTAGTTAGCCCTTCCGAATTACCTATTGTTTTATAAATAAATCCTTATGTAAGCAGGTGTCATAACTTTCGTCATTTTGCTTGCCCACTAACCTATTGACTACTGGAACACATACACTTTTTATTCGTAATTGAAATAAGATCGGGTAGGAGGTATTATGCTTCGTACTACAGAACACAGAAATAGGTGAAAAGTGCCTTGCGGGCTTAGATTAAAACAAAAAGGGAAGATACGGCATTCGCGGCTCAAAAGTGATCCGCTTAAATTGTGGTCCACGACCATAATTCGCTTTAGTCACAATTTGACATTCAAACACGCTGCATGTACACTCAATATAATAATATTGCGTATATTCTGTGTTATGAAGATATAACAATGCCTTCGATGCTTTTATAAAGAACACAAATAGTTCAAAATCAAATGCCCCGGCAACACTTATCATTCGTAAAACTGTGAAAACATTTTCTTTCTCAAAAATCAAGGTTTGTCGTGAATATTATTTACGTAATCGCTATTTTGTAAGCAAGAAAAGGATAACAAACCGCTGCGTTAAAACGTATAGTTCTGTCTCGCTCGCTCGATTGATGTTTATATACAGACGTGTGCGTGGCGAGAGTTGCTTATGTAGTTGGGTCTGATCATATTTTATTTGATAGCGTACCGTATCTATCCTTTTTGTTTTAATCTAAGCTTGCGGGCGGGGCAGGCAGTTAGATATCTGCGAGTAAACGTTCATAACTTAACCAAAATTTTGGTTTTGATTGCGTCGTTGCTCAAGAGTGTGAGCGCTGATTGGGTCGATTGTTTGATGTAGTGTCATTTGATTGGCAATTATTTATTAGGTGGAAGTGTAGTGAGGGTGAGCCGACGACATCGGTTGCCGTACAAACGGTTTATGAGCACACTTTTAACCTCTTCCTGTGTTCTGTGGTTCGTGCTCACATACGGTACTACTTGATAGTTTTAAAATCAAAGCGTCGCGTCCTACGAACGTATCTTCGAATTGAGTGTTTTGCGATTGTCAAAATTTGTATGGAAACTTGAACAGCAGCGCCACAGCGGACGCAACGAGAACTAAAAGTCGAAACACATTTGACAGTGACATTTCGCACGCGCAAACTATTCGAATTCGATATTGGGTCGTGCTAGATTTTTCCCCCTTTAGAGCAAAACTATCGGCATGTGAGTACGGACTAAAAATTATTACAGGTATTTGTTCCGTAACTTCTAAACTATAACCTGGAATTCCAAGAACGAAAACACGTGGCTTTAAATAAAGACTTGCATTTCGCGTTTGCTTTTAAAACTCACGAAATGCCATATCGAATATAGGCTCTACCTGCCGAACTTTTTACAGGTAAAAAGCAAATGAACCGCTTTTTAGGGACCTTTTCACAGGACTGGCCAAGGTCCTCCCAAAGTGACTCTCTTGACATTCAGAGGCCGGTTCTGTTGGGTTCTGCTTTGTCTGACGCAAAAGGATTCGACCTTATTACCTTGACTTAAGAGTGATAGGATATTGTCGAAAATTCAGCGGCTCGCTCACATAATATTTGAAATGGAAAGTGATCGTGTGACCTTGTGTGAGAGCCTTTGTCCCGTCGGTAAGACAAGTGGTTATGTTTATGTATGAATATTTATGCACGCCACTCATATATATCGTCTCGTTGCGTGTGTCGCATACCAATAGGTACGCTCATTAATATTGAAGAGTATTTTTATATCTCTATTCAAAAATACTTTCGAGTAAAAAGTTTCAATGCTTACTAATAAAAATAAAAACAAAACAAATGAAGGGTAGACTAATATCAATAATATTTGTACCTATAACAGTCATGCACTTCATACAAGGAAAACGCGTTATTTTTTAAGTTCATTTCACATATTACTCCAAATTCTGAGAAAATTTAACGTATCTAAGTACTTAAACTGTTCATCACCAAGTCACACGATCAGTTGACACACGGGCGGATAGACATCGGCGATGTTAAGTAATACTTTGAAAACGGAACTACTATGTGCACGGAACTTTAAAAATAGCTATGAAAATACCAATCTTTTTTTTTATTTTGGCAAACGAGTTAGGAGGAGCTCGATGGCGCAAGTGGTTAGCGCGTTCGGCTGCGATCGTTGAAGTTAAGCAACTTTCGTAGTGGTCGGTCATTGGATGGGTGACCAAAAATCTTCTATCTCGAGTTCCTCCGTGCTTCGGAAGGAACGTTAAGCCGTTGGTCCCGGCTGCAACTGCAGTCGTTAGCACCCGCCAATCCGCACTGGGCCCGCGTGGTGGGTCATGGCCCAATCTCCCTATTCCATCCATAGGGAAGGCCTGTGCCCCAGCAGTGGGGACATTAATAGGCTGATGATGATAATGAAACGAGTTAGCGGTTTACTGGATGGTAAAAGCTCTCTGAAGTATAATGGTATATAGTAAGTATAATTACTTACTAACATTCATACGTATCATCATCACCAACCTATTAATGTCACCATTGCTGGATCACAGGCCTTACCTATGGATGGAATAGGAAGCTAGGTAGGATAATTACTTTCTGTAACAATATAATATTTTGTAAATACCTATAATGTTATTAGATTTGACGCAGTGAAGTTTTGTTCGCCCGTTTTTTTTCCACAGTTGAAAAATGTCCTTAACGGGTGTTGGGGAAATAAAATATGGACGATTCGAAAGAGTTGTGTTAAGCTTCCTTTTAGAATAAAGACTAGCAAACCAGTGAACCAAATGTTCACCAAAACCTGATTTCTCGAAAAACGGAAGTGCTACGTTACTCAAATCCGGTTTGTAGTCTTATCAGACTATTCTTATCTTATAACTTAAATATTCTCTTTATCTATCTCTTACGGTTTGACCGCTGAAACAGCACCACAGACAGACGGACTTGTCTAATAGATAAGAGACTAGCAAACCAGTGAACCAAATGTTCACCAAAACCTGATTTCTCGAAAACCGGAAGTGCTACGTTACTCAAATCCGGTTTGTAGTCTTATCAGACTATTCTTAACTTATAACTTAAATATTCTCTTTATCTATCTCTTACGGTTTGACCGCTGAAACAGCACCACAGACAGACGGACTTGTCTAATAGATAAGAGACTAGCAAACCAGTGAACCAAATGTTCACCAAAACCTGATTTCTCGAAAACCGGAAGTGCTACGTTATTCAAATCCGGTTTGTAGTCTTATCAGACTCTTCTTAACTTATAACTATATAAATTAAATATTCTCTTTATCTATCTCTTACGGTTTGGCCGCTGAAACAGCACCACAGACAGACGGACGGACTTGTCTAATAGATAAGAGATATTTTGAATTGAAATGAATTTGATTTATGTGAAAATTTTACTACATCCCCACAAAATCCGTTTATCTTTTAGCATATTGCGTTACATTTTGAATTGGTATTAAAAAATTCAAACCTTGTCTATGGTTCAGTGGCAAAAAGCTCGACTGCTACGCAGGCGGCCCGGATTCGATTAACAGGCGAGAGAGGTCTTTTTCTATTAATTATTTTAAAATTTTAGTTTTTGTTGTGATTTTTATTCTCCTGTCTTAAATTTTCGCCTAATCTTTCGAATCCATCAATATTACGCCTACACCTGGCCAAATACCCCGAATGGTGGCCAATATTATATCCTTTATATGGTCAGTTTTGTAATTAAGTATTACTCATAAGCAGTTAAATATTTGCTCATTATGGTATGATACTACCATACTAGTCGGGTTTCCTACACATAGAGCACCCACGTACGGAATACTCAATGAGTTTCTTAAAAGCATGCAAATATATCTTTGCTATAGAAAACTAGCATGAAAGCTGTGTTTGCAATTTTCGAACTAAAGGGATTTTGCAAAGACCGGCCTGGATGAGTGGACAAAATTCTTTTTCTCAAGTCCTTTCATAATTCCAAAGGCAGTACGAGTTTTACAATTACGAAAACTATGATGGTTTTCGTGAGCTAGCACCGTACTAAGGGCACTGATTTTATTATTTTCGTTTCAATACAAATAAACAGAGTTTAAATTCTAACATTAAATCATTTGTTTCTTCTTAAATTAAGTATACCTATTTGGTTACTTTTCACCAAAATGGACATAGAAACATAATTTAAAATTACAAAAACTGTGATAGTTTTCGTAAGCACAAACTCGTACTAAGGGTACTGGTTGGTTCACGTGATAAAATGTGTAATTTTTTTCTTATAACGGTAGTGCATTTGGTAGCGTTGTGCTTCTGTAGGCGAGGAAAAGATCAAGGACTTCTCAGAGTAAAGGATTTTGGTGTCAGTATCCCAAGCACGAACAAGAAGCAGTAATGAGAAAGTATTCTTAACTAAATGTGGATAAGATTCTATGTCTTTTGAAATGTCAGTCTTGATTTTTTTAAGTGAAAACTTCTTTCGTTGTACATTTTTTTTGTATGGGTAAAAAATGTTAAACTTGCGTCAGGTTAAACACGTGGGCTGATCGCATCATGACACACAATAAAATTGAAAAGGTTGCTGGCTTTCAATATATTGGACGAAACAGAGTAATATTTTATTTTACCGTATTATAACAATAAGTCTCTATCTAGGACGTCCACGTGGCAGCTTTATTCCTAAGAAAATGCATTTTTTTACCATAGGTGTCTCTAGGTGCGCTTAAATGTGATTCATGTAAGTTGATTTCTTCACAATAGATGTCGCTAAGTGCGCTTAAACGTAATTCATGTAAGTTAATTTTTCTGAGAGATAAACTTTTTTAATGTAATATAAATTGTCATGTTTGTGTACGATAGCGCAATAAATAAATATTGTAGTCTACCACATACATGATAGTACTTTTATACTGATAATTAAAGCAATTCGTGCAAAATTATTCCCTAACCAT